ACTCTTGACTCACCGAGGAGTGGTGAGGTGAAGTCACCTAGGAAGGCTGCTGAAGCCTCTCGGGCTCTAAATTCTGATATCTCATCCTTATTGAGGTGCGACTCGGAGTCCGTTGAGAAGGAAGAGGATACTAGTAATCCTGGTTTTGGAATTGAGAGCACTTCTGTCAATGACATTCTTGCAGAATTACTTTGCACGGCAAGAAATCCACTTCATTTAAAGTGGAACCGATCAGCAAAGATGATTAAGAGCTTCTTCATTAAATACAGAAGCTCAATGTACTCAAGTGGATCTGACTTCCTAACGTACCAGAAGCACCATAATGAATGCTGTCAGGTGAGTATAGAATCTCCAAACAAGCTGATTGTCAATAATAGTTCTGAACTGGGAAAATCTGAGGGGGGATGGAAGGATAAGAAAGATGCTGCTGATTTGCAAGTAGAGACAGGCCTAGCTCCTGATTCAAGAAGTTGTTCTGAACAATGCAAGGTTGGGCGGAAGAGGAAGATGAGAAAGAATGAAGATATCAATGTAACACTAGCAGATTTGGAGCCTCAGGTCATAAACATTCCAGTGGAAAGAAAAAACATAAAGAGCAAAGTTGTAGCTACTGGAGAAAGTGTAGTTCTGTGCCCTGCGCCTGTTAATTGTATGCAACCAGCTGAAGTTGGAAACAAGATGAATAAGAAGGGTAAGGGAGTTACTAATGGGCAAAAGGCTGTGGACCCTGTCCATAATCTTTCAGAGTGTTCACAAGATGGCAACTCTAAACGGAAGAGGAAGAAGAGCAAACGTGCAAATGCTGATGTACCCTTGGTTGATTCGATCAGGGGCATCACAAATACTTTGGAGAAAGTCAAATCTGAGCACTCGAGGAAAGATGATGAAACTTGTTACAGTTACCCTGGAGCTCTTCTCTTGACTTTTGCCTCAGGAGTTCCTTTGCCCTCCCAAAGCGAACTAATTTCTACTTTTCGCAAGTATGGAGTTGTGATAGAATCAGAGACGGAGTTGCTAAAAGAGACCAGTAGTGCTCGTGTTGTGTTTGCCAAAAGCACTGATGCAGAAAAAGCCTTCAATAGCTCAGATAAAACTGGTGTCTTTGGGCCACCATTTGCAAACTACCATCTCCACTATCTACCTCCGATTGCATGCTCTCCTCATCCAATACCTCCTCTTCCTTACATAAGGGAGAGTCTCGAGAGGATGATATCTACTCTGACTACTACTACGTCAGTGAAAGAGACAGGGCCATCTGATGGGATGAAGCCTGCTGCAAGGGAAAATTTAGTTGGAGACATGGAAGGCCTCCTGAAGAAGGTGAACACAATGCTAGACGGGGCTGCTGCTGGTACCTAGTTTGAGAATGATAGTATGGTTCTAACATCTTTTAGCTTAGGCATCAGTGATCGGCCCTGCTTTATCAGGTTGTTGAATGATGACCTATAAGTGGGATCAGTACCACTTGCTTTATTTAGGTTGCTGAATGTAAGTGTAATTGTTATTAGTACCGTCAGTACGACTTGCTTGATCTCGTTTGCTGAACATTGACATGTTGACCTTATGCATAGCTTAGTTTAGATCATCTGTGTGCATTATAGACTATTTCTTCTCACTGTTTTCTGCAAGATAATGGATAACCTCATCCGCTTTGCACATAGTTGTTTGGGGTTTGTTTGACCTGCTTAGTTTATTGTGTTGTTAATTTGTTAAACCTAGTAGGTTGTTATACCTGTGATGAGAACCAAAAGATGGTCAACTCAATCATACATCCTTCTGAATATAAATACAATGAAATATTCGAGATCATCTATTTCTCTCTTTATTATTGTAGCATGTCTGCTTTTATGGCTAATGAACAGGATGGAGGCAGCGACCTAGCCGACTGGGGTTGGATATATGAATGTGGATTATCAAACTAGTAGAAGGAAAGAAAAACAAAGTTTAATAGCGTTATTTTGTTGCAGATGGAGGAGCTGAAAGCTTGATTTTTGATCAATTTCTGTGGGACATTTGAATGAAATGATTGTGAAGTTTATTTGAACTTCATGGATTGGATTTAACTTGTGATAAAAACATTTTATGTCATGTGGTTCTAGGCCTAGTATATCCAAGTCATTAGATCAGTGATATGCTAGAATTGACAGTGACAAAATAGTTAATACAGGTTCCTTATTGTATTGTTGCTCTCTTTTTCTTGCAAACTTAATATGTTGTTGATAGACCGAAGATGGATAGTTGGTCATCAGATAATAGAAATAAATCCAGTCATCTATCTATACATCATTGTATCAACTGTGAACATCTCTTTTTTTTATATATGTCCTGCATCCGTTTGAGTTGGTTTGATATCTGTCCTGTACTGCTGTTGTTAACTTTTTTAACATTCCCTAATGTAAGAGAAGAGCTAGAAATGTGAGTTTCCTTGTCATGGCCAAATTGCATCCTGAAGTTGGTCCAGAGCTTCGATATCTGTCGTATGTGTAGCTTGATCACTGTGCCACTGCTCCCCTCCATGTGCTGCTGTTTTTAGTGGTTTCATGAGAGTATGATGTTAATTATTCTGGCTTAATGTTTTGAATGGATTGCTTTAATTTTGGTACAAATTTCATTGCTTCAATCTCTATTTTCCCGAAATTTGTTGCCTTTGCGCTCTGGCAGTGTTTTTGGGTTCTCTGTTACGTGTACCCATGCAATACTTGACATTTCTTGACATTTTATGATAGGTCTCGGAGCTCTTGTTCTTTCACTTTGGTAATCTGCGCTTCTTTATATATTGTTGACGCAGATCCACTTGTGATCAATTATTGGGGACGGGAGACTTGTGGCAGTCACAGACTTGTGTTATTTAACGAAGGAATCGTTCGTGTGATAGTTAGTGCATACAATATCTTTTTGGGCGCTTCGGTATGTATTTAAGATTAATGCTAATATTTTACCATTCCACTGTGCAGGTGGACGGGTGGATGTTTGTCTACTAGTGCCTATGAATGTGACTGACACCCAAGCTACAATATTTGTGTTGATTGAGGTGAGCATTTTATATCATCACCCGCCGTCTTTTTATGCATATCCCATTGTGGTTTGTCAACTGGTAAAACTGGACAATTTGATTATAGAGCAGCTAAGTGTAATCGATTTATAAGTTATAATTGTAAAGGAGAGGGGAGGTTTAAGATAACTCGTTTGCTACTACTAAGCAAAAGTCAAATAAGAGAGGTATTGTAGGCACTCACTCAAAGACGCACGCTGGGCATTACCCACAACAAACGTAGTGGATCCGTTTCTTTTCTTCTTCTTCTTCTTTTTAATCTTTTCCTTATTCTTTTTATTTTTATGGTAGAGAGTGATCGACCACGTAGCGGTCGATCCCCCTGTGCCCAAATCTGGTGTCGGCCGGTTTGGATAACAGAGCCCGGATTGCGCCGCGTCCGCCTCGAAGATGCGGAAGTGGGTCACGATCAAGAAGGGGAACGCCGTCGCCCTTCTGGGCCGGGGGTATGACGCGATCTCTGATCCTCTTCCTAGATGGCGATCGTTTTGGAGTCACGGGTCTGATTTTGGTGCTTGGATCATCTGATGGATCACTTTCGGGTGGTTCATCGGACTCGATGGTGCTTCCCTCCCTCCCTCCCTTGTTCCTTTCTTTTCTTCGTCTTGAGTTGATTCTCCTTTCCGTTCTTGAGATGGACCGTTTCTTCTTTCTCGAGATGGATTCTTTTCTTCTTTGTTGAGATGGATGATGTCCGTTGGTGATGTTTCCCTCCCTCCTTCCTTCTCTTCTCTTGTCCTTTGTTGAGAGAGGATCGTTTTTTCTTTCTCTTTTCTTCTATGCAAAGATGGATTCTTCTCTTCTTTTTCTCGAGACGAATCCTTGTATTCTTTCTTGAGATGGATCTCATGAACTGTTGATCTTGGGGTACTTTTCTGGATGTTCTGCTCTTCTGGTTTCTGTTATTTTGATGCAGTTTGTTTCTTGAATCTTTCATCGGAACATTTGTTTTCTAATTCATGGTTTTCTTCTTTACATGATCATCTTACGAGCGAGCCGCATGTGCTTTTCGTTTGTTCTTAAATCTGAAGGTTAGAGATCATGAATTTTATTGATTTCCCGATTGCATTTTGTTTCATCACCATTTGTTGACAATTACGTAGATGCAACTGGAGCTTAACGATAAAGACAAATGGAGATTAATGCTGGTTTAATCCATCGCACAAGATCTGACAGTTTCTTATATTCGTAGATTCATTCAATACTGCACATCAGTGACCTTTTTTCTTTTGCCGTGTCTGATCATGCCAAATTACTATCACCAGCATTGTCATATAGATGTTTCCTGTCTCCTTTAATTCTTTGTCTATTCTTCTCTGTTTTCATGCCATATCTTTGTTGATAGCTTCGTTGTTTGAGTAACGCTCCTCATTCAGCATCCTTTATCAAGAGAAAAAAGGGGGACTTCTTGGAATTAATCCTTTCAATAATTTTAAGATTCTAAACTTTTGACTCCTTGGTAGTTTGACCCCCCTACCTACCTACCGAAGACACAATGTTCTAAAATGGGCGTGTTGACACATTAGAAGAAAATTTCATGGACATTTCCTGTCTCCATTTCTTTAATGGTTTTTTTTTTTTTTTTGGCATATTCTTCTCTCTTTTCGAGCCATATCTTTGTTGATACTTTAGTTGATTGTACGAGTACTTGGATTCCAAGATACATTCAACACTCTGCATATTATTAGGCAAAAGAACTAAACGACCAGTGATCTCTTTCCACCTTTATTTTAAAACTCTTTTTTCCACTTTAAAACATTAGAACTCCAATACTTGATGCTTTGTGACTGCCCCATGTCTTGAACCCTAAGACACATTATAAGAAGTTTCAGATGAGTCCTGCTACTTGGACTAACTTTCCGTCCCAATGATTTCTCTGTCAGATGGCATTCTCATAATTCTGACACGTGGAGTCAGGTTTGTATGGGAGCTACTCTCTCGAGAAACTTGTTGGGATGGAACTTTAAGCGGAATACTTTAGTATAGTATAGGAATAAAGCGCAACCAAAGATTGCAGCACCAACCCATGCTAATTTAATTTCATCACACGTCTATAATCTTCATTTTATGGTTGGTGTTCGACTAAGTGTATATACAATATTGGTTATATGTATTCTTTATTCAATTTATGCATTTTTCTAAACAAATATTTGATTTTTACAGAAAAGAAGTGTTAACTATACAAGCAAGTCAGACAGAGAATCTGGGAGGTGGCACCACATCATTTTAGTTGGTTAAATAAAGACGATAAGGCAGCCTGAATTAGTGGGGTAAATAAATGCACTAGAGATTCTCTGAACCCATAAACCTGCATATATTTTTCTTATCACCTTCGGTGTTGCTCCGTCCACTTCAAACAATTTTGAAGGACATGAAATAACTTTTCTTTAAAAAAATGGTGGGAGACATTTTGGAAGGAATAAATTAAGCAGTTTAAAATACATAAACTGCAAATGTGTGTGTATATATATGTATGTATATATATATATATATATATATATATATATATATATATGTATATATGTATATATATATATATATGTATGTATATATATATATGTATATATATGTATGTATATATATATATGTATATATGTATATATATATATGTATATATGTATGTATATATATATATATATATATGTATATATATATATATATGTATATATGTATATGTATATATATATGTATATATGTATATATATATATATATGTATATATATATATACATGTACATGTAGAAGTATATCTTCTCATAGAACTATACTTAAAAATCACTAAGCAACTTCTATATTTACAAAATCAGAGCGCTGTGGGCTTCAAAATTTTGGTAATAACCTCTCTGCATCTGCACTGGCTTCATCGTACGTTACAAATTTGACGTCCTCTCAATCCTGATGCAAGATGCAGTTGAAGCGTCTAAATTTGACTGGATCTTCCCAATCAGGACTTGTATCCAAGTCCTCACAAACATCAAGAAAATGTTTCCTGATACTGTGATCTTACCATTTTCTTTTTTAAATTTTCAGTATCCGCATATGGACACCTAACTTTTTTTTTTTTTTTCTGGCTTGTTTTTTTCTTTGTAGGCAGTCCAAATCTCGAGTGCCTGAAGATCTCCAAGCAAGTGCACAGTCCAAATCTCGAAGATTGCATGCCACCCTAACGGAGTACAGATATGGTTAGAATCTGATTCAACTTAAGCTTGAAGCCAAAATAAAAGGACGACAGAAGCAAGTGGACCATCCAAATCTCTCACACAGAGACTGTGAGAGATTTGTATTCAAATTTAGAAGACAGTTCAATGAGTCATCAGTGTTAATCAGCACCAAGACAGAAGTTTCCAGCACTCCAATCGAAGAAACTTTTTCTTTGATAATTGTAGTCCAATCAAATATGATCTGCAACTTTAAAACTAACAATGTAATTTTCATTTTATAGAAACTTCTTTGTGATTCCAAACCAAAAACAAAGCCTAGCCAGAAGAAAGTTTGTTGCCATTTGTGCGGCCTATATTTTATGGAAGAATAAATGTAATATTTAATTTTCCTGTACTAAACATGAAAATATAACCATTAATTAATATGTTCCAATGAAATCAATGCAAA